TAATTTTAAAAGTATTTTAATTGGAAACACAGCTTGTAATATTTGGTTTTAATTCGGCTTTTATCGGGGTTTATTTTCTGTATTTTTGTATTTTGTAATTTTTTGTACTTTGTGTTTATTATTTGTTTTTAATATGCTGTGAACCGCCCTGAGTCCTATGGGAGAAGGGCGGTATACAAATTAAAATAATAAATAAATATAAAATAAATAAAATAAATAAGTGAAGATGGTGCATAGTTTTTTTCCCCTGATTACATGAACAGAGAAAGGTGGTCAGTATACTGAAAATAGAATAGAATAGAATAGAATAGAATAGAATAGAATAGAATAGAATAGAATAGAATAGAATAAGCAATCAACATAAATCATACTAGGATACTAAATAAAACAATTATTATAAATCGTAAGGACAGTTTCCCCCCCATGCCATCACTCTACTAAACAACTAATTCCCACAACACTGTCAAACTACCTAGTAGGGCTGTATTACTATTATCCTTCACATCTTTCCTATCACCTATCTCCTTATCCTCATATAACTATAACTTTATTGCTTGTACCTTACAATTGATAATAATTGTTTTATTTAGTATCCTAATATGATTTACGTTGATTGCTTATTTAGTATCCTATGACTATCACTATTGTATCTTATGATTTCTGATGAATGTATCTTATGATAATTATGATCATGATTTATCACTGTTGCTTGTTTGTACACTGAGAGCTTAATGCACCGGAGACAAATTCCTTGTGTGTCCAATCACACTTGGCCAATAAAGAATTCTATTCTGTTCTGTTCTGTTCTGTTCTGTTCTATTCTATTCTATTCTATTCTATTCTATTCTATTCTATTCTACTATTTTATTCTTCTATTCTGTTCCATTCCATTATTCTATTCTATTCTATTCTATTCTATTCTATTCTATTCTATTCTCAGTATACTGACCATCTTTCCCTGTTCTTGTAATCAGGGGGAAAAAAACTATGTGCCATCTTCACAGGCAACCAGATAAGATTAATCCTATAGAGGCAATCATAGACAAAATCATGCAGAAAAAACATTCTAGTGATACCAATCTCCAGAATAGTTAAATACCCCCATCTCCACTCCTCTCCACATAAAATTATAATTGGGTAGCCTTGTTTCGGCTTCAGGACCACACTCAATCACTTTCAGAAGGTATCAAGGACAGATAGCAAAGAATAAAAAAGAAAAAAGGGGAAGCTGTAGGAAGAGATAATGAGAAGGATCACACACAAAGCATAACAGAGCATAGCCTTCTTCTCATAAATCAATTCGATTCCTTCCTACAAGTAGTCCTCATGACTTTTTTAAACAAACATTCAAAGTTACAACTGACCGACCTGGGGGTGTGTGCTTACGATCTGGATTCAAAGTTATGACAGTCCCCCCCCCGCAGTCACCTGACTTCACTTCAGATACACGGCAACCAGATTGGCATTTATGGCTGTTTCTAGCATCCTGCGATTGCATTTTACGACCGTTTTGCTGAAAACTGGCAGTTATTTTTAGTTTTGGGCAAAACCCAGTCCCATAGTGAATTGTTGGTTGCTTAATGACCTTGGTCATAATTTAAGGATTGCGGTGGTTGCTTAATGACCGCTGCAAAAAAAAGCGGTAAAATTGGATCGGGCACACGGTAACCCTCACGCGTTACGATCGTGATGGGCAGCTCTATTACAATCGTAACTCGAGGACTATCTGAACTCTCTTTTCTCTGATTTTTCTGATATTCTATTCCCCTCCCCTCTTAAATGGAAGTCTTACCTCTCTATATACATTATGCATCTCACAATGTCATCATACAAATGCTGTGAATTACGTACTGTGTAGCATTTGTGCCATGACATCACAACTGAGGAAAATAGTATCACCCTATACAGGTAGTCCTCGACTTAGGACAAATAACTGACCCCAACATTTCTGTTGATAATCGAGACATTTGTTAAGTGAACTTTGCCCCATTTTACGACCTGTCTTGTCACAACTGTTAAGTGAGTCATTGCAGTTGTTAAGTTAGTAACACTGTTGTTAAGTGCATCTCATTTCCCCATTGACTTTGCTTGTCAGAAGGCCGCAAAAGGGGAACACTGCAACCGTCATAAATAGGAGTCAGTTGCCAAGCGTCTGAATTTTGATCACTTGACCGTGGGGATGCTGCAACGGTCGTAAGTGTAAAAAATGGTCATAAGTCATTTTTTTTTCAGTGCCACTGTAATTTTGAACAGTGACTAAATGAAAGGTTGTAAGTCAAGGACTAGCTGTATTCTACCAGACTTCCATGTATGCAAGATGATATTACCTTTGTCTCTGAAATATGATCACCCTACTACCCGTGTTTCCCCAAAAATAAGACCGGGTCTTATATTAATTTTTGCTCCAAAAGACACATTAGGGCAGGGGTCTTCAAACGTGGCCCTTTTATGACTTGTGGACTTCAACTCCCAGAATTCCTCAGCCAGCATGGGGGAACTATGGCCCCTTCATGACTTGTGGACTTCAACTCCCAGAATTCCTCAGCCAGCGTGCCTGGCTGAGGAATTCTGGGAGTTGAAGTCCACAAGTCATAAAAGGGCCATAAAAGTCATAAGCCCCTGCATTAGGGCTTATTTTCCAGTTAGACCTTATTTTCAGAGAAATATTTGTTCAATGCGTCCATCTGGCTGACGATCTTAATTGGGGCTTAATTTTGGGGTAGGGCTTATATTACGAGCATCCTGAAAAATCACGCTGGGGCTTATTTTCCGGTTAGGTCTTATTTTCGGGAAAACATGGTATTGTTTAGAAAACCAAACAAATAATATTTAGGACAGCGGTTTCCAACCTTTTTGGCTCGGTGGACTGGTGGAGGCAGCTGTGACCAGAGAGAGGGAATGGTTTCGTACGTGTGTGAGTGCCGCTTTCACAAATGCAGTGTTGCACAAAAATGTGCGCCCACCACATTCTGAATGGGCTGCAGCCCAACACTAGGCCGAGAAATGGGGATTGTGGACCCCTGATTTAGAAGATTTTATCCTATAGATGTTATCCTATATCAACAAAGATGATCAGGGGACTGGAGGCCAAAGCATATAAGGAAAGGCTGCTGGAATTGGGTATGTCTAATTTAATGAAGAGAAGGACGAGGGATGACATGATAGCAGCGTTCCAGTATCTCAGGGGCTGCCACAAAGAAGAGGGAGTCAAGCTATTCTCCAAAGCGCCTGAAGGCAGGACAAGAAGCAACTGGTGGAAACTCATCAAAGAGAGAAGCAACCTAGAACTAAGGAGTGAGAACAATTAACCAGTGGAACAACCTGCCTCCAGAAGCGGTGAATGTCTCCAACACTGGAAGTTTTAAAGAAGAGACTGGACAGCCATTTGTCTGAAATGGTATAGGGTTCCCTGCCTGAGCAGGGGGTTGGACTAGATGACCTCCAAGGTCCCTTCCAACTTTATTATTATTATTATTATTATTATTATTATTATTATTATTATTATTATCATCATCATCATCATCATCATCATCATCATCATCATTATTATAAAAGCTCTTTATGCAAAAAAAATCCGTTTTTGTTCCCTTAGTATGATTTCTGAGAATATTCACACATGATTTTCAAAATTCATATTTATGAAAGCTCAATGCACCCCTCTGTCCTCTTGAGGGAGCTAAGAATTAATTTTTTAGCAGCATCGGAGGGATGAACGCCCTGTGGTACAAGGCACACAACTTTTCTATAGAAACACTTCACATTTTTAAAAACCTTCTTATAAAGAGACGAGGGGCAGAAGGGGATGCTAAAGGAGGCTATGATTCAACCTCTCCTGTGGTTTTAGTAAGTCTATATACAGCATTCCCAAAAGACAGGGTGTGCCTGTCTATAATTCTATATTCTAATGACAAAAATGAGTGTTACAAGAAGGTGTTGCAGTAATAAATGCCTAAAATGACCATCTTTTGTTAAAGAATGTTGCTCATGTGTCCCATTAGCTCTACTAATTGTTCTCTTGTTTTTCAGTTATGTAATTCCAGACATAGCAGACGTGAAGAACAATGATTTAATATGAAAATTAGGCTCTGCTAATCTCAAAGGAGAAGACTTTTAAGGGCCCACAGCTGCTTTTTAAGTAAACAGTTGGGTAGTTAATATTCATTTAATACCAAAAGGTCATTCTCCAAAACTAAACAGAAATCAATCTTTCCTGCTCGATGTAATTTACCAACTCAAAAAAAATATATTTCGAGCTTTTATTAATGAATGATACTAAGTAAACTTAAGGATCCATTTATTCAGTTGGTCACTTTAAATGCATTGCCAAATATTTATGTTTATTTAATGTATTTCATTAAAGTGGGCGTGTCCAATCCACGACCCCTGGACAGCTAGTAATGTGGCCACACAAGACTGCAAACTTTTAACATTATTATGTGATTTATGTACATTAGCTGTATTATATATTTTATACGCAGCCGTATAAGACAATTCCTTTTCACTCAATGCAGTCCAGGCAAGACAAAAAGTTAGACACAGGAGTGTCCAACCTTGACAACTTTAAATTTTTGGACTTTAACAGTCAGAATTCCCCTGCTTGTTTGGCAGTTTCTTGATTGGGGAATTGTCGCTTCTTGATTGTTGGTCTTTATTTATTGTTGATGTTAATCTCTGCTCATTTGAGGGTTGATTGCTGGTGAGGAGGTGTTCTGATATTTTTGTTCCTTTTTTGGCTTGTAATAATAATAATAATAATAACAATAACAATAACAGTAACAGTAACAGTAACAACAACAACAACAACAACAACAATAATAATAATAATAATAATAATAATAATAATGGTAAAGTTGGAAGGGACCTTGGAGGTCATCTAGTCCAACCCCCCTGCTCAGGCAGGAAACCCCTATACCATTTTGGACAAATGGCTGTCCAGTTTCTTCTTAAAAACTTCCAGTGTTGGAGCATTCACCGCTTCTGGAGGCAGGTTGTTCCACTGGTTAATTGTTCTAACTGTCAGGAAGTTTCTCCTTAGTTCTAGGTTGCTTCTCTCTTTGGTTAGTTTCCATCCGTTGCTTCTTGTCCTGCCTTCAGGCGCTCTGGAGAATAGCTTGACTCCCTCCTCTTTGTGGCAGCCCCTGAGATATTGGAACACTGCTATCATGTCCCCCCTCGTCCTTCTCTTCATTAAACTAGACATACCCAATTCCAGCAACCGTTCCTTATATGCTTTAGCCTCCAGTCCCCTAATCATCTTTGTTGCTCTTCTCTGTACTCTTTCTAGAGTCTCAGCATCTTGTCGATTGTATCTTTTAAATGTATGTAGATGTTGTGTATGTCTATGTGCCTCTTGATGCCCATTTGTCAGAGTGCCAGCCTTGGATCAAGCCAGAATTCCTGGAAGCCTGGCAACATTAGACCAACAATCAAGAAGCAAACAATACCCCAGTCAAGGAACTGCCGAATAAACTATTATTATTATTACTACAGAAAACTCCATGCAAGGTTGCCGCCTTCCATTTTATCAATGAAACCACTTGGACATCTTACCTTGAATGTCATCGTTGAAAGTGCAATAACGGGTGCGATATTTCTTGAGAAGCCGGAAGGCGTTGGCATTTGCAAAGTCCTCAAACTGAATGAGACAGTTCATGCCGTACCTGCAGAGTGAAAAAAGGAATAATAATCAAGAATAACGGGGAAAAAACACTAGCAACTTCCTTGCGGGGAGAAATAGGAAATCCTCTTCTCCCAACTGATGCATTAAAAACTAGCATGGTCTTCTGAACCCGGCACCTTTCAAGGATCCTGGAAGCTAATAATGCAGAAATTGTGAAGGACACCAGATTGGGGAAAATCTGAAATAGAGACATGTTGGTATTGATAGGCTTCCACAGAGACAACTATAATAGTTCTTGACTTACAACCATTCGGTAAGTGGCCGTTTGAAGTTGCAACAGCACTGGAAAAAGTGACTTGTGATCATTTTTCACACTTACCACCGTTGCGGCCTCCCCACGGTCACGTGAACAAAAGTCGGGCGCTTGGCAACTTGTATGTATTTATGACGGTTGCACTGTCCCAAGGTCATGTGATCACCATTTATAACCTTTTCAGATGGCTTGCAACAAACAGAGTCAATGGGGGGGGGGGGAGAGCAGATTTGCTTAATGACTATATGATTCACTTTGTGCAGTGATTCACTTAAGAACTATGGCCAAAGAGATCCTAAAATCAGGCAAATCTCACTTAAGAATTGCCGTGCTTAGCAACAGAAATTCAGGCAAAACTCACTTAACAATTGCCTTGCTTAACGACAGAAATTTTGGCCTCAGTTGTGATCGTTAAGCTGAGGACTACCTGTATGGCTTGAAACGATGTTTTCATTGCATTTTAGAAAATGGAGCCACAATACACAATAATTTAACAGGCATTTAGCGAACAGGAATGGTATAGTTCAGAGGTAGGCAACCTTGGCTCTTTTATGACTCGTGGACTTCAACTCCCAGAATTCCTGAGCCAGCATGGCTCAGCTTGGAAACCTCTCCCTTTCCCCTCAGCATGGCTGGCTCAGGAATTCTGGGAGTTGAAGTCCACGAGTCATAAAAGAGCCAACGTTGCCTACTCCTGGTATAGTTGTTAAATTTGTCAAGTGACTTTGGATGGTTATAGACATCATATAAAACAAAAGTGACAAATCATTAAAATATTTTAAACTAGCAGAGATTAAATAAGTTTTAAAAAAAACCAGAATACTATGGGGTGGTGGTGGGATCTTCAGTTTAATCCAGGAACCATCTCCAGGTTTGGCATGCCCACATCTGGGGCTACAGGCTAGCCAGCAGGTTTTAAGACCCTTCCTGAAGGCCAAGAGGGTGGGGGCAAATCTCATCTCGAGAGTCATGATGTTGTAGTCAGCGAGAGCCACCACAGAAAAGGACCCTCTCCTCAGCCAGAATTCCTTGACCAATGGGGTTCACAGCATGCCCCTTCTACCAGAACGAGTAGGACAGGTTAATTCCATTGAGGTGAGATGGTTCCTTAGGTTCCCCATAGCTTTAATGGTCGCCATCAACTCCTTGGACTGGACCTGGAAGAAGATTGTCAACCAGTGCAGCTCACGCACCAGCAATGTTATGAATTTTCATAAATTTCAAGCTCTTTATGCTTTCTTGCATAGCTGCCTTTCTAGGAGACTTGGAGCTCATCTCATCTCTTACTCACATAGTAGTAGTAGTAGTAGTAGTAGTAGTAGTAATAATAATAATAATAATAATAATAATAATAATAATAATAATAATAATAATAATAATAATAATATAAAGTTGGAAGGGACCTTGGAGGTCATCTAGTCCAACCTCCTGCTCAGGCAGGAAACCCTATACCATTTCGGATAAATGGCTGTCCTGTCTCTTCTTAAAAACTTCCAACCTGCCACTTCTGGAGGCAGGTTGTTCCACTGGTTAATTGTTCTGTCAGGAAGTTTCTCCTTAATTCTAGGTTGCTTCTCTCTTTGATTAGTTTCCATCCGTTGCTTCTCGTCCTGCCTTCAGGCGCTTTGGAGAATAACTTGACTCCCTCTTCTTTGTGGCAGCCCCTGAGATATTGGAACATGGCTATCATATTCCCCCTCGTCCTTCTCCTCATTAAACTAGACATACCCAGTTCCAGCAACCGTTCCTTGTATGTTTTAGCCTCCAGATTTCTAATCATCTTTGTTGCTCTTCTCTGTACTCTTTCTAGAGTCTCAACATCTTTTTTACATTGCGGTGACCAAAACTGGATGCCGTATTCCAAGTGTGGCCTTACCAAGGCATTGTAAAGTGGTATTAATACTTCACGTGATCTTGATTCTATCCCTCTGTTAATGCAGCCTAGCACTGGGTTGGCTTTGTATCGACTGAGGATGGATATTTGTTTACATTCTCGGCATTTCTGCTTCTCCAGTCCAAGCAGTTACTCCAAGTTAAGCTGGAATCTTCTCACCATTAGCTGAGCCCTGACAGTTTCATCGTTCTGAAGGAAAGGTCCAAAGACCCTCTCCCCTCAAAGTTTTCCCCTACATTCCCCGGTCTCTATGTTAACCAAGTCTCTGTATTGTAGCCGGTTGATTGCTAGTGCATAAAGAATAATAAAAATGGCTCAGTTCGGTAAAAGCCACAGAAAATGCTTTGCTCAAATGGAGAGAGAGAGAAATTAGTTACAGGAAGTCCTTGACTCACGACCAAATTTGGAATCAGTTGAGTGCCTCTTTAAAGTCTGATTCTGAAACTGGAGCTCAAGCAGGGACACTAACTTTGGACACTAAAGATCTGAGAATCTATGGAGATTCTCCATCATCCAAGTCATGTTTGTATCAAAGGTGCTTTTTCCAAAAGGCAACTGGACTTTCTTGGGCTTTTTTTTCTTTGAAGATGTTTTGCTTCTCATCCAAGAAGCTTCTTCAGAAGATCTGAGAGTCAATCAAGAATGGTTGAGAAGTTCTGCAGTCTAAAGGAGACTAGTTGAATGAGGATGTCATTCCTTTTAACCACCTGCTTTGTAGGCTAAACTGGGGCAGGCAGTTTGTAGTTTAGCAAACATATTGTGGAAAGCATTGTGAATAGAATAGAATAGAATAGAATAGAATAGAATAGAATAGAGATTAGAATAGAATAGAATAGAATAGAATAGAATAGAATAGAATAGAATAGAATAGAATAATAACTTTATTGTCATTTTAAATGCACAGTAATCGGCACACATTAAAATGAAATTTTGTTGCAGACAGCTCTCAAGGGGTCCCCACCTCCAATATACACTACATAAATATGACCCTCACAAAATTGCATAGTATTAGCAAATTGTGTGATCCAGACCACCACATGAAGTCGTCACGTGGTGTAAAGTTTTGATTTTTGTTATGAGATGGCTGTTGCTTAACATGCACACACAAACTTTGGATTATGTGGCAGCCCTTTTGAAAAACCGGCTCATGGACTGAGTTTCTCTAAAAGCACATTGTTAAACAAACAGTGCTTTGAATATATAATGCTAATAGTCCGAAAGACATCGGTGATGTGTGGAGACTTACGTTCACAGAAAAAGGTGATGAATAGATCCCTTCTGAATAAATGGCAAAGGGAGCATCTAATAAAAAGAGAAATATTGCTTTTGGGTCCCCAAGCAAAGCAATAAAACCTTGGCATGGAAAAACAATCTTCCATTCAGCACCTCCGACTCACGTGAACAAGGCCAGGATAACACTGAGGGCTTCCAATCGGAAACTGACACCAGGAAAATCAAGCTTTAATTCTACACAAGCTATTGAAAGCTCCATTCACCACTGTATTAAAAAGGTTCCTGGTCTTTGTTAGTGCCTCCCAGGTGTATTTTATTCTTGTTGCTATTTGTCAGGGTTTGTTTTTTTTTTGCCCTGCTAAAAAGTGTCTGTCAACAAGGAGACAAAGGCAGCTGCCTTTGTGGCCTCTTGCTAGGCATTCAGACAAGAAATTCAGTCCTTTTTCGCTCCTTGATTAAAACAAAAAAAAAGATGAGAGAGAAGAAAAGATTTACCTCTCCGAGGGCCCATCTCACCTGTTTTTCAGCTGGGCATCTGCTGTTAAAGAATTTACAATCCATGCCATACAAAGCATATTTTTTTAAAAAAATTCTGACAAGGTTGCATCAAATTCCTGTCAGGAATTGACTTTTTTTTACTAAATCTTTGCATTTTCAACTCTCAGAGTACAGGTAGTCCTCGACTTACGACCACAATTGAGCCCCATGTTTCTGTTGCTAAGCGAAACATGTGTTAAGTGAACTTTGCCCCATTTTACGACCTGTCTTGCCACAGCTATTACGTGAATCGCTGCAGCTGTTAAGGTAGGAGCACGGTTGTTAAGTGAATCTGGCTTCTCCTTTCAGTTTGCTTATCAGAAAGTCACAAAAAGGGGATCACAAGGCCCCGGGACACTGCGACCGTCATAAATACGAGTCAGTTGCCAAGCACCTGAATTTTGATCACATGACTACGGGGATGCTGCAAAGGTTGTGTGAAAAACGGTCGTAAGTCACTTTTTTCAGTGCCCTTGTAACTTTGAACAGTCACTAAATGAACTGTTGTAAGTCGAGGACTACCTGTAGTCCTGCATCAGGAATTCTGGGAGTTGAAGTCCACGAGTCATGAAAGAGCCAAGGTTGCCTACCCCTGGCCTAATATAAGCCCTATCCCAAAAATAAACCCTAGTTTTGGGGAGAGGCACACACTTAAAAATCAAGCTAGAGTGGGGAGTGGGGGTGGGGTGGAGCTGCCCCATCTGCCCCGCAGCCCCTTAAATTGCAGCCAGGCCTCTCCTTGCTGGCCCACTTCTTCTGAGGCGTCTTCTGCAGCCAAGCCTGTGTTTCTCAGTCAGACTTTTCCAGAAGGCCTATACAGCCAAGAACCAAGCTATGGATTCAATCCATAGCTCAGTTCTGCGAGACCTCAGCAGCCAAGCTATGGATTGAATCCATAGCTCCGTACTTGGCTGCCTAGGCCTCCCGAAAAGGCCTGATTGCAAAATTCAGGCCCGAATGCAGCTGCAGAACTTCGGCCCCAGAAGAAGTGGACCGGCTGGGTGCGGCTGTCGGTAGCGGAGGTGAGGTAAGGCCTACCCCGAAAATAAGACCTGGTGCCTCT